TGACCGCCCCCCAGGACTGATCCCAGAGCGCCCCACCTTCAACCCCATACCGCTCGCTTTAGCAGTGCTGTCACCCAGACTCAGCACCGCCGTCTGTGTTTATAAGTGTGTAAGCACTACTTGGGGTGGAAAGCTCCAGCCCGCCAGAGCTGCTAACCTGAGCTGGCAAAGAGTCACTTTTAAGTGGGAGTCTTGGGGCAGGTGTGCACAGGTGTGCGTTGCACATTCACGACTGGGTCTTGCTGAGCGTACAGGTGCCAGGTGCTGGCTTCTCGAGTTTTCTGGGAGATCCCAGAGACGTGACCGTCCTCACTGCCTGCAGATGATGGGAAGTCACCCATCGTTTGTCCCGTGCCAAGCAGCTTGGGGTCTGGTGTCAATTTGTCGTTCGTGGCCTCTGTACCAATATTGCCCAAGAGCGTCGAGCTATCAGCTCAGCCCTGTGGGTTCAGGGGGGTTATCTTGGTGAGTAGATAAGATTTTTATGGAAGGAAGTGCCAGGAGAAGGTGGGGGAAGCGGCGGAACTTGGTCGACGCTGCTTCCCAGCATCCGTTTCTCTTCCAGATGCGCCGTGGTGTGGCCACTGCAAGGCTCTGGCCCCCGAGTATGCCAAAGCAGCTGGCAGGCTGAAGGCGGAAGGCTCGGAGATCAGACTGGCAAAGGTAGATGCCACCGAGGAGTCCGATCTGGCTCAGCAGTATGGTGTGCGTGGCTACCCTACAATCAAGTTCTTCAAGAACGGAGACACCGCTGCCCCCAGAGAGTACACAGGTGTGGTTGCCGCACCGCCCTTCTCTTCCCTGCAGACAGGGGTGTGCCTGCAGCCTTTGGGAGAGACCTGAGTGGTGGGGAGGCCCGCTTTCAGAGGCAAGGCGGGGAACCTGGTCTCAGACTGGATTCTCGGTCGAGGTCAGCCTCTGACGCTCTCGTGAGGAAAGTGCTCCCATCCCCGAAGAGTGCTTCAGGTAGAGAGGGACATCCTTCCGGGGCGGGTGGCAAGCTGAGGCTTGTCCTGAGGTTGACCAGTGAGAGGAGGAAGGCTGGGGCCCTCGGGCCCACTTGGAGCAACAGGTGTAGCGATTTGGGACTGTCTGGTGTGCCAAGCCAAGTGCCCAGGGCCTTCCCCAGGGCAAGGGCAGAGGCTGAGAGCCACTGGGTGACAGGCTGGCGTCACTCACCTGTCCTGGCAGAGCTCAAATGCAAGGCCCGGCCCCTCAGGCTGCCTCCTGGGGCCTGGGCCCCTTTGTAGCCTGGTAGGTACCGGGACAAGAGGAGAGACTTTTGTCCACAGAACCGGTTCTGTGGCTCTTCTGTCAGAATGCTCTCGAGCAGCCTCGTTGACTCTGACGTCTGCGGCTCTGGTGTTCTTACTAGGCTGCTATTTTGTTGTTCACACGTTTGCCTGGGTTCGCTCTCAGGACAGGAAGTGCAGAGTTCCCACGGTCCCATCGCTCGCGCTTAGGTTTGGTGAATGAGACAGCTGCTCCTAACTCCACCTGGAACTGATGAGTCAGCATCTCGTTGTCACTTAGGAGAGTCCTTCTAAGCGTGAGCCTCGCACCCTCCTCGTGCCGGGCCAGGTGGCCAGATGCTTTGAGGGGAGGAAGGCCCTCCTTGGCCTCAGTCCTAGGAGGAGCAGGCTTCTACCTTTTCGGTTTGTCAGCTCTGGGTGGCGTGCAGGAGCCTGATCCCTCTCATTTTGCTGGTCTGGGAGGCATGTGGGAGGGCCAGGCCGAGGACAGGGACCCCTGAGCGGCCTGCATGTCCCAGGCCAGCTAGAGCTCGGGGAAGGCAGGGGTTGAGCTGATTTACCAAGCAGCCTTTTTTTATCTTATTTTTTTTTGAATTCTACCACATCTTTAATTATGACGGAGCCTAGAGTGAGGCCGCTGGGGGAAAGTGTGTGTTTGATGAATTTAAGCGTCAAGGGATGTAGAAAGTGCAGAGGGCTTAGAGGAGGGGGCGGCGGCGTGATTCTGCTACCCTGGGGGCAGCCGCTGCGTCTCCCCTGCTTCACACCCAGTCCCGGTTTCTCAAGAGACAGAATAGTGCTCTTAGCGCTAGGATTTGCACAGGCGCGTAGACAAGGTTCCTCTTCTGGAAGGAGAGTGTTGAGCCCCGGTCTTGGCAGAGAGCTCAGAGGGGCAGGGAGGGTGGGCCCTGGTTTTCAGTGGAACCCGCCTGTATTTGGGTGCAGCTGGCAGAGAAGCTGAGGACATCGTGAACTGGCTGAAGAAACGCACCGGCCCCGCCGCCAGCACGCTGCCCGACAGGGCCGCCGCGGAGGCCTTGCTGGAGTCCAGCGAAGTGACTGTCATCGGCTTCTTCAAGGTAGAGGCTTCGGCACTGCGCCCCGTCGTCGGGGAAAGGTTCCCTGTGGTCTGGGTACTGCCTGTCTGTCCTGCTGGCGGCCCGGGCGGGACCCTCGGTGCTTGGCTGAGTGGCCACCTCTGCTGCTTCTCTGTAGGATGTGGAGTCGGACTTTGCCAAGCAGTTCCTGCTGGCAGCGGAGGCCATCGATGACATACCTTTTGGGATCACGTCCAACAGCGACGTGTTCTCCAAATACCAGCTGGACAAGGATGGGGTTGTGCTCTTCAAGAAGGTGAGTGGCCCTCCAGCAGCCCCGCCCAGGGCATGGAGACACCGCGGGGGGGCTGCTCTCCTTATCACTTCCAGCCCCTGAGAACCTTGCCCGGGCGGCGCTGGACCGCCAGCCGGACTTATCGGGGGCCTGTTGGCAACGTCAGACCATAGGAGCCACTCAGACAGTGGCCTTCAGACTTTGCGCTGTGGGCCCGTTGTTCCGGCTCGAGTGGCAGCTCCAGGGCCGTGTTTGATGAAGGCAGAGCTGCTCTGGAGCGTTTAGTGTTGCCGAAAAAAAGAAAACGCAAAATATTCGGGAAGGTCTGCCGCCTTAACCTTTTCTAAGCGCGTGATTCTTCGTATGAGGCATCAGTTACGTCGATGGTGCCGTGCGACCGACACTCCTGTTTGCTCAACTTTTTGATCCCTGCAAATGGAGGCCGTGCGGGTGGCAGGCAGGGGAGGGCAGAAATCAGGGGAGGGGCAGGGGGCAGGAGGCGGGTCTTCGGGGATGAGGATCGGGCCTTTCGCTCCTGTTTTGTCCTGGTGGGAAGAGGGCGGGTTTGGAACCCCAGCAAAGCAGGAAACCCCGTGGTCAGAAAGGTCGCTGGCTTCTGGTCTAAGGCTGTCGTGCGTGTGCGCCCCACGTGTAGGGCATCTGGGCCGAGTGACTGAAGACAGGTAACCTTGTGTAGAAACTGCCGCATCTGGCACCTTGCCAGGGGCTGGCAGGGAGGGGTGAGGGGGTCTCCCGGCTGTACTCCTGAGGACTGGGGACGCCAAGGTGGCTCCGGGTGGCTCTGTTCCAGCGTCCTTGCCACTCCAGTGTTTCTGTAGTCTTGCTTTCCTCAAAACAATTCCAGATCCTCGTAGCGCCTGCCCCCCCGCGAGGGAACGGAGGGGCTATGAGGCCCCCATGGGGGGCCTGGGTGGGATGGGCCTCTGCGGGTGGCCAGAGTCCTGGGTCCTGAGGTTGAGGCTGACGGAGGGGGCGGGTGTCTCAGAGACCGCCGAGACCATGTGCCATCCCGCGTCCACACCGTGCTTTCCTACCTCCTGAAAATCCAGAGCACCAGTTCTCACGCGTCCTCCGGCCTCGGCTCCCCGTTGTCTTCGGCACCGGGCGCGGCCTGGGTGACGTGACCCCTTGGGTCTGGTGCCAGTTGGGGGGCAGCCTCGAGCAGAGGCCTGGCAGGACCCCGGGGACTTTGTGCCGCGTGGGTCAGTATGGGTCCCAGCTGCAGTCACAGACCGTCGTACGGACGAGAAGGAGGAGGCTCAAGTCTGGCCCCTCCCGGCTCTGTTGGGCCGGCCCCCGTTTTCTCCATCATGCTTGTTTCCTCGGTCTTTCTTACTCCCTTTTCTCTAGGTTGTTCGATCCCATTTCTTGCAGTGTGTTGGGTCTGTCCAGGGGCCACTGTGGGCAGCCTCACTGAGTCAGGCACCTCCCTAGTGGGACAGGGCAGGCCACTTGCTGGGAAGGATGGGGGCTCGGATGGTGGCTTGGGTCATGGGTCACTGGCAGTTGGACTTCTGGTTTGAGAGCTATTCTGTGTCTTTATTCGTCCTGGTGGTTACTTTGCTTTTCTTTCCTGAAACTGCGGGGTAGGAGTAGGTGTCGGGCTGGGCCTGTCCTCCGCTGCCTGCAGTGTTGCGCCTTTTGGGGATGTTTGTCATTGTGGCCTGACGGGGCCGGGCTTCACTACTGTCCCTGGCTGAATGAAGGCTGGTTGTGTGCTTTTTACTGAAGTAGAGGGGGACTGTAGCGTGACGTGACCCCATTACTAAAAAGATTGTGTCTCAAGACAGGTGCGTGCGGCAACTCTGTTCTTTGGGCCTCTGGGCATGAAACTGGGCACACCGCTCACTGCTCGGAGGGGCTGGCGGTACGGTTCTGGAGCAGTGGGGGGCCTGTGTGCCCCTGGTAGGGGCTCAGGAGCATGCCTGGTGGAGCCGGGCCCCCTGGCCTTGGCTTTTCATCCCCTTTCCCCTCTTCTCCTTGGGTTTGGGGAAGAGAGAGCAGGCTTCAGCTTTTCCTGGGGGTGCTGTGCTCGTGGCCCCTGGCACCCGGCCCTCGATCTGGTCTAACTTTAGCAGCCTGTGTCATAGTTGAGCTGAATGAAGGTCAGGCTGTAATGTGATGTTGGCGGGAGCAGGGAGTGGCCACCTGCTTTTCTGGAAGTTCCTTTGGGGAAGTGTAACTGGAAATGACTGGGAAGAAAAGGTGAGTAGTTTCTCTCTGTGGGACTCATTCGAGAGTTCAGAGGGAAGGATGAGATGCTCGTGTGAACAGGTGTAGAAGCAGCATCGTTTTTGTGCTGGGAGTGGTCTCTGTGCTCCACCCAGAGCCAGGGCTGCAGCTTCGCTGCACGGCTGCCCGTGGGCCTCTCTGGTCTATAGCAACAGCCTTCCAGCTTCGGGGCCTCAGGACCTCTGAAACTCTTAGATATTACTGGGGATCCCAAAGAGATTCTGTTGTTGTGGATTCTATCTATTGATTTTTACCAGGTCAGGAATCAGAACCGAGAAATGTTTCTAAGACCCTAACCATCTAGGGTGTCTGGCTGGCTCCGTCGGTAGAGTGAGTGACTCTTGATCTCAGGGTTGTGTGTTCAAGCCCCACATTGGGCATGGAGCCTACTTAAATAAGAACTCGTCCGTCTAAGTAACAGTTACGTGTAATCAGAAGCTCTTGTGAAAGTTAGTTTTTCCCAGACAACTGCATTTGAGTGGTGAGTGTGTTCGGTTTCTGCTGGTTTCTAGCCTCCACCTTGTGGAGGGCAGACCTGGCTGATGTCAGTCTGTCGGGACGTCCCTTGTCACTCTGCTCTGATCTGAGGGCATAGCACATTCGGGAGAACGTGTGTTCTGAGCAAGAGTACGAAATTGCAGCTGCCCCGGAAGGGCCCCACACTCTCCCCTTGGTGTCGCTGTGGCTCAGTGCCCGGAAGAGGCTGCTGTCTGCAGCCCTCATCCGGCTCTGTTCGGTGGACAGAGGCCTGTGGCTTCTGCTATCGCAACTCCGGGTTGCTGTGCCGGGCCGAACCTGGGCTCTGGGGGCGGTGGGGGGGGCGGCATGGGAGGCTTTGGGAGGACCGAGGTTCTCGCAGCCCTCTCTGTGCCCACAGTTTGACGAAGGCCGGAACAACTTCGAGGGTGACATCACCAAAGACAAGCTGTTGGACTTCATCAAGCACAACCAGCTGCCGCTGGTCATCGAGTTCACTGAGCAGGTGCGGCTCTCCTGTGGGTCCTGCGCCCTGAGGGCGGGGCGGTGTGGGAGGGTCGTGGGGTCCCGACCGCGGGAACCCCCACGTACAGATCGTTGCAGCGGTGGCATTGCAGCCGTTGAGAGAATGTTCTGTGTAAATGGCTTAGTTCGTGGCTCAGACCCAATAACCTCTGTTTACATCACAGACAGCCCCGAAGATTTTCGGAGGTGAAATCAAGACTCACATCCTGCTATTCCTGCCCAAGAGCGTGTCTGACTATGAGAGCAAACTGAGCAACTTCAAGAAGGCCGCCGAGCGCTTCAAGGGGAAGGTGAGCGGCTCAAGTGACTCAGGCTGCAGGGTGGCCCGGGGCTCTCTGCGGCTCCCGGGTCCCTCTGGGAGGGCCAGGCCGTGGCGGTGCGAGTCTGCACAGTGTGCGTGGCGGGAAGCAGCCAGGCAGGGGAGCGGAAGCTGCCTGTGGCCCCCCCGCCTCACCTGCCGCTTCTCCCCTAGATTCTGTTCATCTTCATCGACAGCGACCACACGGACAACCAGCGGATCCTGGAGTTCTTCGGCCTCAAGAAGGAGGAGTGCCCCGCCGTGCGCCTCATCACCCTGGAGGAGGAGATGACCAAGTACAAGCCGGAGTCGGACGAGCTGACGGCGGCGAAGATTGAAGAGTTCTGCCACCGCTTCCTGGAGGGCAAGATCAAGGTGGGGGAGCCACATCCCGAGATGGAGCCGGCCCGCGCCGGCCTCTCGGCCTTTGGGGTCCCGGGCTCCCTGCGGCTGCATCTGGAAGGTGTCCGAGCTGAGCGTGGACTCCTGTGGACGGGGCCCCAGATGGCGTGAAGATGCTTGGGGAGAGACGCGGTGGTCCCACTGCTTGGGGAGCACAGAGCAGCCCCGACCCCGTGGGCTCGGCCCTCTCCCGAGGCTCCGTGAGCAGCTCTGTTCCCTGTGTGTCTCAGGCCGGGGTGGGGGTCCCGGGGGCCAGTGGGGTCTTGAGCCATCCCTGACCCTGCTCTGCCTGCCCTCCAGCCCCACCTGATGAGCCAGGAGCTGCCCGAAGACTGGGACAAGCAGCCCGTCAAAGTGCTGGTCGGGAAAAACTTCGAAGAAGTTGCTTTTGATGAGAAAAAGAACGTCTTTGTGGAATTCTGTAAGTGGAGCCTCTTCCGCTCGTGCGCGTGTCCCCCATGAGGGCCAGCGGGCCGGGGGTGGGCAGAAAGCGGCTCCTCGGCCCAAGGTGGGGACTCCGCTGCTCTCTTCCAGATGCCCCGTGGTGTGGGCACTGCAAACAGTTGGCCCCCATCTGGGACAAGCTGGGAGAGACGTACAAGGACCACGAAAACGTCGTCATCGCCAAGATGGATTCGACGGCTAACGAGGTGGAGGCCGTGAAAGTGCACAGCTTCCCCACACTGAAGTTCTTCCCAGCCGGCGCCGACAGAGCGGTGTGCCTCCGGCGGGGGGCTGGGGGAGGAGGGGGGCAGGGCCGGGGAGCGCGGGACCGGCTCCCTGATTCACATTCTCGCTCCCCCTCTCCCCGCCCCAGGTCATTGATTACAACGGGGAGCGGACGCTAGACGGTTTTAAGAAGTTCTTGGAGAGCGGTGGGCAGGACGGGGCCGGAGACGACGATGTAAGTGGCACGTTGGTTCCACCCGGCCAGCCTCTGGGTCACACCCTGTAGTCCGTGGGACAGGCTTCCGTGGGCGCCACTTGAGGCAGGCACGGGGACCCGGGCTGGGGGGCTGGGGGGCTGCCGGGAAGCCCTCACTGTGCCCCGCAGAGCCATCCTACCTGATGAACATGCTGTACAGATTGCCCGAGAGGGGCCTTTAAATGCTGATATTTGCTTAAGAGATTTACTCGTCCCGTGAGGCTCCCTACTGCGCTGGACCCGGATGCTCCTCCCCAGCCGCTGGCTGAGGCGTCCTGCCGGACACCAGCTTGGGCCTGTCCGTGCAGCCGTGGGCGGCTGGGGAGAGTGGAGGCTGGTCTGTGCCCAGGCCAGAGGGCAGGGCGGTGTGGGGGCGGGGGCCAGGGCAGTGGTCAGCTCAGTGGGGTATGGTCGTCGGGCTGTCGGCGGCCCCACAAACCCTGGAGGCTGGGCTCCCGGGCTCCCCTTGCACCGTCTTACGGGCAGAAGCTCTGAGAGCCGACAGTTGGCTGCTTCTGCCCAAAGGGCCAGCCAGTGTCTGGCTGACCGAGGCCCCGCCCCGTCCTTCCTGGTCCCTCCCATTCCCTCCCGGTCCCTCCCGGTCCCTCCTGGTCCCTCCTGACCCATGTGCTTGCTTCCCTCCCTCTTCCTGCTGCGCCCCAGGACCTGGAAGATCTGGAAGAGGCGGAAGAGCCTGACCTGGAGGAAGATGACGATCAGAAAGCTGTGAAGGACGAACTGTGACACGGAGGCCAGACCCTGGCGCCCAGACACGGCACCTCATGGCCGCACACCCAGCGGCTCGGCCTCCGGAAGCTGGGGCCCCTCCCCGGAAGGAGGGAACGTCCATCGGAAATGCAGGGAACTTTCTGAAGCAACACTTCATTCTAACACACGTGTAAATCGAAACCCATCACCCTTTGCTTTTCAATCTTTGGAAAGGGATTTATCTCCAGGCCAGCCCATCTTCTGGGCCATTTTTTTTTAAATCGTGATGTACTTTTTCGTACGTGGTTTTGTCCAAAGTGCTCGTTAAAATGTCTTGGAATCTCGGGCAGGTGAAGCCTCCTTCCTGTTAGGTTTATACTGTCACTTTTGAACATGCCATCGGTGGGATTTTTAGACATTTTTGGACGTCAGGGTGTCTGTTCCACTCTGGCCGTGGCTCCCCGGAGACTCCTGTCCCCTGCTCGGGGAGGGGCCCGGCCGGCCTGGACAGCCACTCTCCACGTGCCGGTGTTGCCGTGGCTGAGCGTGGTTCTCCCGGCGTTTGGTTAAATGGACGCTTTGGCACGGTGGGGAAGGC